AAAGGACTTAGACTCCCACACAATAATAGTGGGAGACTTTAACACTCCACTGTCAATACTAGACAGATCAACCAGACAGAAAATCAACAAGGATATCCAGGGCTTGAACTCAGACCTGGAGCAAGGAAACCTGACAGACATTTACAGAACTCTCCACCCCAAATCCACAGAATACACATTCTTCTCAGCACCACATCACACCTACTCTAAAATTGACCACATAATTGGAAGTAAAGGACTGCTCAACAAATGCAAAACAACTGAAATCATAACAAACAGCCTCTCAGACCATAGTGCAATCAAGTTAGAACTCAGAATTCAGAAACCGACCCAGAACCACACAGCCTCATGGAGACTGAACAACTGGCTCTTGAATGTTGACTGGGTAAACAACGAAATGAAGGCAGAAATAAAGAAGTTCTTCGAAACCAATGAGAATGAAGACACAACGTGCCAGAACCTCTGGGACACATTTAAAGCAGTCTCTAGAGGAAAGTTTATAGCAATAAGTGCCCATATGAGGAGAATGGAGAGATCCAAAATTGACACCCTATCGTCAAAATTGAAAGAGCTAGAGGAGCAAGATCAAAAAAACTCAAAACCCAGCAGAAGACAAGAAATAACTAAGATCAGAGCTGAGCTGAAGGAGATTGGGACACGAAAAACCCTTCAAAAAATCAATAAATCCAAGAGCTGGCTTTTTGAAAAGATCAACAAAATAGACAGACCACTAGCCAGATTGATTAAAAAGAAAAGAGAGAACAACCAAATAGATGCAATAAAAAATGATAAAGGGGAAATCACCACAGATTCCACAGAAATTCAAACCATCATCAGAGAATATTACAAACAACTCTATGCGCATAAACTAGTAAACCTGGAAGAAATGTATAAATTCCTGGACTCCTGTGTCCTCCCAAGCCTAAACCAGGAGGAAGCTGAAACTATGAATAGACCAATAACAAGGTCTGAAGTTGAGGCAGCAATTAAGAGCCTACCACACACAAAAAAGCCCAGGTCCTGACGGGTTCACAGCCGAATTCTACCAGACACACAAGGAGGAGCTGGTACCATTCCTTCTAAAACTATTTCAAACAATCCAAAAAGAGGGAATCCTTCCCAAGTCATTTTATGAGACCAACATCATCCTGATACCAAAACCCGGCAGAGACCCAACGAGAAAAGAAAACTTCAGGCCAATATCCATGATCAACATAGATGCAAAAATCTTCAATAAAATATTGGCAAGCCGATTGCAACAGCAAATCAAAAAACTTATTCATCATGATCAAGTAGGATTCATCCCAGGGATGCAAGGCTGGTTCAACATACGCAAGTCTATCAACGTAATTCACCACATAAACAGAACCAAAAACAAAAACCACACGATTATCTCAATTGACGCAGAGAAGGCATTTGACAAAATTCAACAGCCCTTTATGCTAAAAACCCTCAATAAACTCGGTATCGATGGAACGTATCTCAAAGTAATAAAAGCTATTTATGACAAACCAACAGCCAATATCATACTGAATGGGCAAAAACTGGAAGCATTCCCTTTAAAATCTGGCACTAGACAAGGAGGCCCTCTCTCACCACTCCTATTCAATATAGTACTGGAAGTTCTAGCCAGAGCAATCAGGCAAGAAAAAGAAATAAAGGGTATTCCAACAGGAAAGGTGGAAGCCAAATTGCCTCTATTTGCAGACGACATGATAGTACACCTAGAAGACCCCATCGCCTCAGCCCAAAAACTTCTGAAACTGATAAGCAACTTCAGCAAAGTCTCAGGATATAAAATCAATGCACAAAAATCACAAGCATTCGTCTACACCAATAACAGACTTAAAGAAAGCCAAATCAAGAGCGAACTGCCGTTCGCAATTGCTACAAAAAGAATAAAATACTTTGGAATACAACTCACAAGGAATGTAAGAGACCTCTTCAAGGAGAACTACAAACCACTGCTCAACGAAATCATAGAGGACACAAACAGATGGAGAAACATTCCATGTTCATGGTTAGGAAGAATTAATATCGTGAAAATGGCTATACTGCCCAAAGTAATTTACAGAATCAACGCTATCCCCATCAAGCTACCATTGACTTTCTTCACAGAACTGGAAAAAACCACCATGAACTTCATATGGAACCAAAAGAGAGCCCGCATAGCCAAGTCAATTCTAAGCAAGAAGAACACAGCGGGGGGCATCACACTACCGGATCTCAAACTATACTACAAGGCTACAGTAATCAAAACAGCATGGTACTGGTACCAAAACAGAGATATAGACCAATGGAACAAAACAGAGGCACCGGAGGCAACACAACATACATACAACTATACAATCTTTGATAAACCTGACAAAAACAAGCAATGGGGCAAGGATTCCATGTTTAACAAATGGTGTTGGGAAAACTGGCTAGCCATGTGCAGAAAGCAGAAACTGGACCCCTTCCTGACACCTTACACTAAAATTAACTCCAGATGGAGTAAAGACTTAAAGATAAGACCTGGCACCATAAAAACCCTAGAAGGAAATCTAGGCAAAACCATCCAGGACATAGGAGTAGGCAAGGACTTCATGAACAAAACACCAAAAGCATTGGCAACAAAAGCCAAAATAGACAAATGGGACCTAATCAAACTCCACAGCTTCTGCACGGCAAAAGAAACAGTAACTAGAGTGGATCGGCAACCAACAGAATGGGAAAAAGTTTTTGCAGTCTACCCATCTGACAAAGGGCTGATATCCAGAATTTACCAAGAACTCAAACAGGTTTATAGGAAAAAAACAAACAAGCCCATTCAAAAGTGGGCAAAGGATATGAACAGATACTTTACGAAAGAAGACATATATGAGGCCAGCAATCATATGAAAAAATGCTCATCGTCACTGGTCATCAGAGAGATGCAAATCAAAACCACATTGAGATACCATCTCACGCCAGTTAGAATGGCGATCATTAAAAAATCTGGAGACAACAGATGCTGGAGAGGATGTGGAGAAAAAGGAACACTTTTACACTGTTGGTGGGAGTGTAAATTAGTTCAACCATTGTGGAAGACGGTGTGGCGATTCCTCAAGGCCTTAGAAATAGAAATTCCATTTGACCCAGCAATCCCATTACTGGGTATATATCCAAAAGACTATAAATCGTTCTGCTATAAGGACACATGTACACGAATGTTCATTGCAGCACTGTTTACAGTAGCAAAGACCTGGAATCAACCCAAATGCCCATTGATAATAGACTGGATTGGAAAAATGTGGCACATATACACCATGGAATATTATGCAGCAATCAGAAATGATGAGTTTGTGTCGTTTGTAGGGACATGGATGAATCTGGAGAACATCATCCTCAGCAAACTGACACAAGAACAGAAAATGAAACACGGCATATCCTCACTCATAGGTGGGTGATGAAAAATGAGAACACATGGACACAGAAAGGGGAGTACTAAACACTGGAGTCTATTGGGGGGAAAAGGGGAGGGCCAGTGGGAGGGGGAGGTGGGGAGGGATAGCCTGGGGAGAAATGCCAAATGTGGGTGAAGGGGAGAAGAAAAGCAAAGCACACTGCCATGTGTGTACCTACGCAACTGTCTTGCATGCTCTGCTCATGTACCCCAAAACCTAAAATCCAATAAAAAATTAAAAAAAAAAAAAAAGAAACTTCAGGTGGAAAGAGTGCTGTAGAAGCAGCACAGAATCCCAGTCCTCTTCTGGGCTAACAGGAAACAGGTGAGTCTCCCCAAATGTGGTATCCTGGTCATCTGCAGAACACCTCTGCCTGTGTGTCCATGGGCTGATCTCTCACCTGAGGGTCCTAGTGCTGGAAAACAGAAACCAGCAGCTTGAGAGCCTGCCTGGGTGAGTGATACTCTGCCACTTCTGTGTTTCTGTGTGTGGAAGGGGTGTGGTTTGTGTATTTGCGCTTGTGTATCTCTCTCTGATTTCTCACTCTTGTTTTCCACTCCCTCTCTTTCTCATTCTATGCATCTGTGTGTGTGTGTGTGTGTGTGTGTGTGTGCATGTGTTTTGGGATGTATTTGCCCTGTGCATCAGAGGGCGGTGTCTTGCACAATGGCCTCTCTTTTGCTGAGCCTCTCACAGGGTCTTCGCCTGGGTCCCGGGGCCAGTCGTCAGTCTTTTCCCTGGTGATTCTACCTGGTGTTTGTGAAGGCCTGGAGGTAGCTGCCTTGGATCAGCATGGGTTTCAGTCACCTCCCCATCCTGAGTGGCCTCTTCCTTAGGACCAAGACAATCAGACCCCCCAGCCATGGACAAAAGCCTCACCACAGCTCACTGTCCACCTGCAGGTGGGCTGCCCACCAACCTCAAAGAGGATGGTTCTTACTTGTCTCTCCTTTGTGCTCATTGAATAATATAGCCATAGCTTGACACAGGGCCAGAACAGGGTGCCAAGAATGAGATGTGGCAAGCATCTCTGTCACTCCAACACTGGCCTTTCTGACCAAGTCAACCATTTGGCACTCCCCACTGCCCCCCTATTACTGTGGAGGTGGCAGTGTGCTGTATTTGGCCTCTGCTCTGGCCTAGGCACTGTACTCTGTCTTTCAATGTCTGCCCACTTCTGAGAACCCTAGAGGTTTCTTCGTCTGGCTCAGTGTCTTCAACAGAGAACATTCTCTAGTCCAGCAAGAAGAAACCTTGTGCAGATGCCTTTCATGTCCGTTTGCCCCTCCAAACCTGCTTCTGAATGATTGGGCAAGTGTGATGATCATGGAGCTTTGATCTTCCATCCCTGTGGGACCGGGACACTCTCTCAGTCTCCATGTACCACTGGATTGTTGCCTGGCTGGTCTTTGCCCACTACACAGGTGGTGTTCCAATTCGCCTGTTGTTTCTATCTCATTTTTGAGGGCCTTTTGGCTCCTCTGCGCCTTAAGAAAGTGCCTTCAAGCGCTGAATTTTTTGGTCGCTACGGATGCCAGGGAAGCATCAAAAGTGATTAGGTTTTGCTGCGTGCAGAAGAGATTGCAGTGGCAGTGTGGGTAAACCACATAATGGAGCCCATGGGATCACTCTGCACCCAAGTGAGGTCCTTCCTGCCTCTCTCCATTGTAATCCCATTCCCACTTACCCAGGTTGGATCAAAAATGGCATCAGAGCCAATCAGGTGCCCTGAATTTTCTCTTCCCCCAGCAGCCAAAACAGAAGACTGCTTGTTTATCGAGGCCCTGAGGACATGAGTCCTATGGGTTTAAACATGGCTTGGTCTCCCACAGGCCCCTCTCCCTGTGCTCCACAATCCCGCCCCTTATCGTGACACATTCTTTGTGCTACTTCCACTCAAGTCACTTCTTGAAAAGGCCACAGACTGACTTCCCACAGCCAGTCACAAGTCAAGTCAAACTCGCCAGTGTGCATGCACAAGGGTCAAGCCCTTCCACGGGTCATAGTGATGTTCCTGTTGCCCAGGTGATGGGTTCTTGAGATGTCACAAAGGAGGAGCATCAGAAACGGGGCTGAGGACCCTCCTCATCAGGACATCCACAGGATAGTCTCCAGAGACCAGGATTCTCCGAAGCTGGGCCAGTAGGAAGAAACCTTAGGCAGAGAGTTTGCTGGGGAAGCAGCACGAAATCCCAGTCTCAAGCCTGAGAGTACAAAGTATAGGTGAGTCTCCCCAAATGTCATGCCCTGGTCATCTCCAGGACCCCTCTGGCTGTGCCCATGGGCTGCTCTCTCACCAGAGGGTCATAGAGGTGAACAATAGAACCCTGCAGCTTCAGGGGCTACCTGGGGGTGAGTGATACTCTGGTTCTTCTGTGTCTCTGTGTGTCAAAGGGGTCTTGTTTGTGCATGTGCACCTGTATGTCTCTCTCTGATTTATCTCTCTCTTCTTTCCCACTCCCTGTCTTTCTCACTCTCCTTGTCTGTGTGTGTGCATGTGTGTGTGTGTTGGGAAGCATGTGGCCTGTGACCGGAGGGTGGTCTCTTGCATGACTGCCTCTTTTTGGTGAGCCTCACCCTGTGTCTCTGCCTGGATAGCGTGGCCAGTCGAAAGTCATTTCCCCTGAGGTCCAGCTGGCATTTTGAAGGCCTGGACAATGTGGGTACAGAGGTGCATCAGATCATCATGGCTTTCAGTCTCCTCCCCATCCTGAGCAGCCTCTTTCTTAGGACCAAGACAACCACAACACACAGCCATGGACAAAGACCTTACCACAGCTAACTCTTGCCTTGCAGGAGGGCTGCCCACCAACCTCAAAGAAGATGCTTCCCACTTCTCTCGACTTTGCCCTCATTGAGAAATCTAGCCACACCTTGACACAGGGCTGGAACAGGGTGCCAAGAAAGGATGTGGCAAGTATCTCAGTCACTCCAACACTTGTCTTTCTGGCCAAGTCAACCATTTGGTATTCCACCCCATCTTGGATGCCCATGGCAGTGGCATTGTGCTGTATTTGGCCTTTACTCTGGCCTAGGCCCTATCTTTTCTCTTTCTCTGTCTGCCCCATTTCTGAGAAGCCTAGAGGCTTCCTAGTCTGGCTCAATGTCTTCAAAAGACAACACTCCCCACTCCAGCACAAAAATACATTGTGGGGATGCGTTTCATGTTCTTTTCCCCCTCCACTGAGTTTCTGGATAATGGGGCAGGTGAGATGATCGTGGATTTCTGGGCTTCCATCCCCGTGTTGGACAGGGATACTCTCTTAGCCTCCATGTACCACTGGATAGCTGCCTGGCTGGACTTTGCCAGGCAGCCACCCAGTGGTACATGGAGACTAAGAGAGCGTTTGGGACCACCCCCCGATGCACGCTTAGGTGGCAGTGTATTGTATTTGGCCTGGACTCTGGGCTAAGCTCTGTCCTTACTCTTTCTCTGTCTGCCATGTTTTGGAGAAGCCTAGAGACTTCTTGGTCAGGCTCAGTGTCTTCCATAGAGAACGCTCCCCAGTCCAGCTGGGGGACACCTTGTGGGGATGTGTTTCATGTCTGTATACCATTCAAAGCTCTTTCTGGATGATTGGGCAGGTGTGATGATCATAGAGCTCTGAGCTTCCATCCCCATGTGGGACAGGAATGCTCTCTAAGCCTCCATGCCCACTGGATGGCTGCCTGATTGTAGTTTGCCCTCTCCACAAAGTGATTTTGCAGTTCACCTACCCTACCTCTCTCATTCTTGATGACTATCTTGTTCCTCTTCTCTTGTGTAAGGTGCCTTCAAGCACTGAACGTTTCAGCTGCCATGGATGCCAGGGAGTGGTCCAAAGGAATTTGGTTTCACTTGGTGCAGGGGATGTTTTGTCCAAGATACCTGCCAGGTGGCAGTGCATGGTCACTATGCCTTGGAGCTCATGGCATCTCTCTCTGCCACAGCAATATCCTTCCTGCCTCTCTCCATTGTAATCCCATTCTTGCTTACCCAGGTGGGATCCGACATGAGATCAGAGGTGGAGTCCAGAGACCCCATCAGGCACCCCGAATTTCCTCTTCCAATGGAAGCCTAAGCAGAAGACCACTTACATGTGGAGGCAATGAGGGTATGAGTCCTATGGGTTTGGCCCTGGCTTGGTCTCTCACACGCTCCTTTCCCATGCTTCCAAAAACCTGCCACTTTTGCCATCATTTTCTCTGTCACTACCTCTGCTGCAGCTATTTCTTTCTTTCTTTTTTATTTATTTATTTATTTTATTATTGCATTTTAGGTTTTGGGGTACATGTGAAGAACATGCAAGATTGCTGCACAGGTCCATACATGGCAGTGTGATTTTCTGCCTTCCTTCTTTAAGAAGCCTGACAGCCCAGAGCCAGGCGCGAGTCAAGACACCTCACCAGTGCACATACACGCGTCACAATTGGCTATTCAGGTCATAGTGACATTCATCATCGCTCAGTGATAGTTTGCTAAGGCATTACAAAGGAGGAGCCCTCTGTGGCAGCCTGTAAAAAATGGGGATCAGGCCCCTCCTCACCAGGACATCCACAGTATATTCTTCAGAGGCCAGGATTTCCTGAAGGTGGGACAAAAAGAGGAGACATCATGCAGAGGGAATTCTTGGGAAGCAACGCAGAATCCCAGTCTCAGGCCAGTGATGACAGGATACAGGTGAGTCTCCCCAAATATCTTGCCCTGGTAATCTCTCAAACACCTCTGCCTGTTTGCCTGTGGGCTGCTCTCTCATCTGAGGCTCTCAGTGGTGGACAACACCTCCAGGTGCTGCCTATAGATGAGTGATATTCTGCCACTGCTCTGTGTGTGTGTGTGTGTGTGTGTGTGTGTGTGTGTGCATATATGCCTCTGATTTCTCTCTCTTCTTTCCTGCTCCCTCCCTTTCTTACTGCATCTGTGTGTGATGCAGGCATATGTGTGTGTGTGTGTGTGTGTGTGCCCCTGTGCCCTATGCACCAGAGAGAGGTTTCTTGCATGAAGGTCTCTCTTGCTGAGTACCTCCCATTGTCTCTGCCTGAGTCACATGGCTGGTCATCAGTCGTTTCCCAGCTGCTCCAACTGGCATTTGTGAAGGCCTGGACAATGTGGGGAGGGAGCAGCATTGGACCAGCATGGATTTCAGTCACCACCCAATCCTGAGTAGCCTCTTTCTTAGGAGCAAGGCCACAACACCCCCAGCCGAGGACAAAATCCTCATCACAGCTCACTGTCCACCTGCAGGAGGGCTGCCCACCAACCTCAAAGAATATGGTTCTCATTTCTCTCACCTTTTCCCTTATAAAGAAATCTAGCCACAACTTGACACAGGGCCAGACCCAGGTATCAAGAATGGGATGTTGCAAGCATCTCCGTCACTCCAACACTGGCCTTTCTGTCAAAGTCAAACATTTGTCACTACCTACCCTGGATGCCTGTGGAGGTGGCATTGTGCTGTATTTGGTCTGGACTCTGTCCTCCCTCTTTCTCTGTCAGCCCAGTTTCTGACAAGCCTAGATTCTTCATAGTCTGAATCACTGTCTTCAACAGGGAATACTCTTCAGAACAGAAGGGGGAAACTTCGTGGGGATGTGTTTCATGTCTGTTTCCCCCTCCAAAGCTGTTTCTGAATGATTGGACAACTAGGATAAGCAGAGAGCCCTGGGCTTAAATCATGTGGGACAGAAATGCTCTCTCAGCCTCCATGTGCCACTAGATGGCTGCTTGGCTGGCCACTGCCTTCACCACAAGGCAGTGTTGCAATTCCCCTGCCCTTCCTCTCATTCTTGAGGGTCATTCAACTCTTCTGATCCTGGGGAAAGTGATTTCAAACACTGGATCTTTTGGCTGCCACAGATGCCAGGGAGCAGGTCAAAGGGATTTGGTTTTGCTGGTTGCTGGGGAGGCTTCATCCTAGGTACCTGGCAGGTGGCAGGGTGGGGACACCATGCCTTGGAGCCCATGGCATCTCTTGGTACCCCAGCGAGGTCCTTCCTGCGTCTCTCCATTGTAATCCCATTCCTGCTTATCCAGGTGGGATCCAAAATGGCATCCAAGGCAGAGTCCAACAGCCCATTGGGAGCTCTCAATCTCCTCTTCTGCCAGGAGCAGAGGTAAAAGACTGCTCACTCGTGGAGGCTCTGACACGAGTCCTATCGGTTTGAACCTGGCAAGGTCTCCCACATGCCCCTCTCTGAGGTGTCCTCAATCTCACAGCTTTCGCCTCCACTTTCTCCACCACCACCTCCACCATGGCCATTCCTTAAAGGGGTCACAGCCTGACTTCCCGGAGCCAGGAGAGAGTTGAGTTGGCCTTGCCAGTGCACATGCTAGAGGCACAAGCCACTCCTCAGGTCATAGCGAGGTTCACCATTGCCCCAGTGATGGGTTTATAAGAGGCCACAAAGTAGGAGACCCCTGTGAGAGTGTGTCGGGTACAGGGCTCAGGCCCCTCCTTGCCAGGATGTCCACAGTATACACTCCGGAGTCCAGGTTTGCTGAACGTGGGCCAAGAGGAAGAAATCTCAGGCAGAGGTAGGGCCTGAAAAGCAGCACGGAATCCCAGTCTCAGTCCTGCACCAATGGGATACGAGTGAATCTCCCAAAGGTCAGGCCTTGATCATCTCCAGGACACCTCTGCCTGTGTTTCTGAGGGCTGCTTTCTCACTTGAGGGTCCTAGTGGTGAACAACAGAACTCTGCAGCTTCAGGGGCTTCTGGGGTATGAGAGATGCTCTGCCACTACTGTATGTCAGTGTGTGTGTTAGGGGTCTTGTTACTGTGTGTGCACCTTTATGTCTCTCTCTGATTTCTCTCTCTCTTCTTTCCTGCTGCCTTTCTTTCTTACTCTCTGTGTCCGTGTGTGTGTGTGTGTGTGTGTGTGTGTGTGTGTGTGTGTGTGTGTTGGGACACATGAACCCTGTGCAGTAGAGGGAGGTTTCCTGAACAACAGCCTCTCTTTTGCTGAGACTCTCCCCGCATCTCTGCTGGGTCGCATGGCCAGTCATCACTGGTTCCAGATATCATTTGTGAAGGCCTGGACATTGCGGGGAGGGAACTGTGTTGGACAAGCACGGGTTTGACTCAACTCTTCATTCTGAGTGGCCTCATTTTTAGGACCAAGAAGATCACACCCCCCAGCTATGGACAAAAGTCTCCCCAAAGCTCACTGACTGCCAGCAGGTAGGCTGCCCACCTACCTCAAAGAAGATGATTCTCACTTTTCTCACCTTTGCACTCATTGAGAAATCTAGCCACAGTTCAACACAGGGCCTTAATAGGGAGACAAAAATGGAATGTGGCAAGCATCTCTGTCAATACAATGCTAGCCTTTCTGGCCATCTCAACCATTTGGCACTCCCCCCACCCAATGTCTGTGGTGTTGGCGTTGTGCTGTATTTGGCCTGGACTCTGGCCTAGGCTCTGTCCTCCCTCTTTCTCTGTCTGCCCTGTTTTTGAGAAGACTAGAGTCTTTTTGGCCTGTCTCAGTGTCTTCAACAGAGAACACTCTCCAGTCCAGGAGGGGGAAACCTCATGGGAATGTGTTTTATGTCCGTTTCCCCCTCCAAACCTGTTTCTGGATAATTGGTCAGGTGCAATGGTCATGGAGCTCTGGGTTTCCAACCCGTATGGGACACAGATGCTCTCTCAGCCTCCATGTCCCACTGATGGCTGCCTGGCTGGCCTCTGCCCTCTCCACAAGGCAGTGTTGCAATTCACCTACCCTTTCTCTGTCATTCTTGAGGGCCATCTAGCTCTTCTGCTCCTGGGGAAAGTGCCTCCATGTACTGAATCTTTTGGCTGCCACTGATGCCAGGTAGCAGGCCAAAGAGATTGGATATTGCTGAGTGAAGGGGAAGTTTCATCCAGCATCCCTGATGAGTGGTGGGGGAACACAATGACATGTGGCTCATGGGATCTCTCTGTGCCAGAGCCAGGCCTTTTCCGCCTGTCTTCATTGCAATCTCATTCGATGTGGAGTCTGGAGAGCCCATCGGGTGCCTTGAATCTCCTATTCTGCTGGGATGTGAAGCAGAAGAACTCTCACTTTTGGAGGCCCTGAGGACACGAGTTGAATGGGTTTGACCCTGGCTTGGTCTTGCGCACGCCTCTTTCCCAGGCCTCTTGAAACCCTCTGCTTTCGCTACCACTGTCTCCGCCAAAACCTTTGTTTCAGCCACATCTTAAAGGGGCGGCAGCCTGGCTTCCTGGAGCAGCTCAATTCGAATCACCTCACCAGTGCTAATGCACAAGAAATAAGCCGCTGCTCAGCTCATATTGACATTCACTGTTGCCCCGGTGATGGGTTCCTGAGACATCACAAAGGAGGAGCCTCCTGTGGCAGTGTGTCAGGAACATGGCTCAGGCCCCTCCTTGCCAGTATATCCACAGGATAGTCTCCAGAGGCCAGGATTCACTGAAGGGGGTCCAGGAGGAAGAGGGTTCAGATGGAGGGAGCTCCAGGAAAGAGGTGCAGAATCCCAGTCTCAGGCCTGCAACGATGGGGTACAGGTGAGTCTCCCAAAATGTCATGTCCTGGTCATCTGCAGGACACCTCTGCCTGTGTGCCCATGAGTTGCTCTCTCACCCTGGGGCTCTAGTGATGGACAACAGAACCCTGCAGCTTCAGGGCTGCCTGGTTGTGAGACATCCTATGCCACTGCTCTGTGTCTATGTGTGTGGAAGGGATGTTGTTTGTGTGTGTACCTGTAAATCTCTCTCTGATTTCTTTCTCATCTTTCCCACTCCCTCTTTCTCACTCTCTGTGTCTGTGTGTGTGTGTTTGTGTGTGTGTGTTGGCACACGTGTGCCCTGTATGCCTGAGAGCAGTTTCTTTAACAACAGCCTATTTTACTGAGCCTCTCCCCTCGTCTTTGCCACAGTTGTGTTGCTGGTTGTCAGTTGTTTCCCAAGTGGTTATAGCTGGCATTTGTGAAGTCCTGTGGAAGGTGGGGAGGGAGCTGCATCAGATCAGCATGGGTTTTAGTCACCTCCCCATCCTGAGCATCCTCTTTTTTAGGACCAAGATGACCACATCCCTCAGCCATAACAAATGCCTCACCACAGCTCATTGTCCACCTGCAGGAGGGCTGCCCACTGACCTCAAAGAAGATGGTTCTTGCTTTTCTCCCCTTTGCCCTCATTGAGAAATCTAGCCACAGCTCAACACAGGGCCCGTACAGGACTCCAAGAACAGGATATAGCAAGCATCTCTCTCATTGCAATGCTGGCTATTCTGGCCAAGTCAATCATTTCACACTCTCACCCCCTGGATGCCCATGGAGATGGCATTGTGTTGTATTTTTCCTGGACTCTGTACTAGGCTCTCTCCTCCCTCTTTCTCTGTCTTCCCTATTTCTGGGAAGCCTAGAGGTTCAGTGTCTTCAACAGAGAACACTCCCAAGTCCAGCAGGGGGAAACCTCGTGGGGATGCATTTTATGTCCGTTTACCCTTCAAACCTGGGCAATGATAGTGGTGCTCTGGGCTTCCATCCCAGTGAGGGGCCGGGATGCTCTTTCAGTCTCCATGCCTCATTGGATGGCTGCCTGGCAGGCAGCCATAAGGCAGTAGTGTTGCAATTCTTCTGCCATTTCTCTCTCATTCTTGAGGGCCATCTGGCTCCTTTGCCCTGGGGAAAATGCCTTCAAGCACTTAAATTTTGGCTGCCACAGATATGAGGG